TGGGGAGAATCACGAGATCTGTGGTCTGACCATGGTGTACACATGTCAGAACAGGGCCTCCTCAGTGGCTAAGAAGTGCAGTGGATGACATGCACAGAGGCACTGGGGGATAAGGCAGCCACTGAGGTCTCTAGAGGACATCTGGTACCGTGACAGAGGATGGAGGGCAGAACAACTAGGACAACTCTCCCAGCCAAGCTTTGACAGCAAGTGTCTGGGTGAGTGGAGACTGTAAGGTGGACTATGTCAGCCAATGGACCTTGGAAGGATTTCCTCATCCTTGCAGCAACAGAATCAACAGCATTTCAGAACTATCGAAACCACTTGAGTAGAACCCTTGGAGCATGCTCCACATTGGGGACCCTGGGATGAAATCGGGTGGCCACTCCTCACCCCTGGGTTGTGATGCAGCTGGGATCTTGGGTATGCTTTCTCCCCTTCTCTCTCCTCTTCCTCCGGATACAGGAAGAAAAACAAAACTGGAAACAATAGTCTCACCCACCTTCTCCTATTCCTTTACCCTTTCTACTCTAATCAATGGTCCCCATATCTCTATATCCTTCTCAATTATGTAGCCACCACCAAAAATAAAATTAAAATAATAACATTATCTGGGTTGTCATCCCAGAATTGGAGGAAAAATAAAAATCTTTTCACAGATAAAGTACAGAAGACAATGTCATCAATCATGTGTTTGTCCCATAAGAGGCCAGCCTTGTTTCAGCCTTTTCCTACCCTCTGTCTCAGCCCCAAGCCTGGGCTGTTTCGAAAACTCAGTCCTCATGTAATTTCATCCACACAAGCTCATAAACCTAGAGACAAATGCAGGCTTTTCCATCTACGAGCCATGTGGCCTAGGCTACTGACATCCTGGAGCCTATCTTCTTTCTGCAAAAAGATGGACCATGATCCTTGACTCTCACGACTGTGACATGACATAGGGTATCTAAAGAACCAGCCCTAGTGCTGTCCATGCAGAGAGCAACATAGGGCAGCCGGGCTTGTGACTACTGTGAGCTTATTAACCCAGAATTCCTTCTGGCCCACTGCCAGGCAGGCTCACAAACGACAAAACAGGGATCAACTCTCTTTTAGAATGAGATGCCCACCTCTCTAGGTGGAATCTATAAACACAGAAACTAAAAATAGTTTGTAACCCATTAGCCCAGTACTCAATTAGCCTCCAGGAGCTTACAGGTAAAGAGGTCCAGGAAAAACTCTGAGCATCAAGTTGGTGAAGTGCTGTGGGGTCTTCTACTGCCCTCCACGAGTGAGGGAGGAGGTGCTCTCCTGTTACCTTAACCCAAAGGAAAAGCTTTTAACTTCTTTAGTTTTTCAAAAAGAGACAAATGACAACAGATAGCATAGGCAGGCAAAGAGATGGAGCTCCCACCTGCTGGTTCACTACCCCAAACACCCACCTGGCCAGGGCTGGGCCAGCCTGAAGCTGGAGGCCAGGAACTCAAGCCAGGACTTGGACACAGTGGCAGGAATCCAATCAGCTAAGCCACCACTGCTGCCTCCCCAGGCCTGCAACCGCAGGAAACTACAGTCAGACACCAGAGCTAGGGATCCAAGCACTGCTTTCCTCAACCCCAGGCCTTCAAAGAGGGCAACCTAACTGCATTGGGAACTGCCGTATTACAGGGTAGAAGGACTGGTGTTTGGCTTCAAACAAGATGGAAAAGCAGCTGAGGATGGCAGGGTTGCCCTGGAAGTGAAGCTGCTTCCTGCAACAGCCACAGGGGACTCCTCTCCCTGTTGTTCCCTAACCCGAGGCAGCTGCATACCAGGGAAGAGAAGGAAAGTCGCTGTAACAAAGCTCAGTGTGGACACTGAGTGCTGGAATCAACACTTCTCTTGTGGTCAAAGGCAGCGGAAGTGGTAAGAAAAAGTTACAAACGGTGTATATCAGTGGAGACATATGAACTATACGCCATGATATAGATTCCACACAAGGAGAAATAGAGCCCAGAAAATGAGCTCAAAGGGCACACTTGTTAGAAACAAATTTAAGCTGCCTTCCCCTGCCCTGTCATGTTCAGCCCTCCCGATGAAACAGTGTGAGGAATTCCTTACTGACAAGAGTAAGATGTAGGTATCAGTGCACTCAGTGAAGTGCATAAATAATGCATGGTCAAGGATGAAACTGTTAGACTTGTCATTTTTAAATATAGTAAAACTTCTGAGGAGGTACTAGGGAAGCTGCTTTTTAGTTTTATCTTCAATTGGCTCACAGCAAGTAAGCAATGCTTCCCTGAAGGATTCTACCCATTCCCCCCAGCAGTGTGGTACAAGGAGATGCTGGAAGTTGCTGACGAGACAGGAACAGAGGGAAAAAGAGTCGTCACGGCCCCAAGAGGACCCAGCCAGGAAGAACAACTCCACGTGCGGGGCCTTCGGGACGCACTGACACAGTACTTACAGAAGCAAAGCAGGGCCTCCTGCCCGTTGGGGAATCTGAGTTACACACACAGCAAGAGCAAAGAGCTTTTCTGGAGGAGACAAGTGGGAGGGAGAATGCAAAACCCTGGAGAGCCCAGGAACTTGGAAAAAATCCTTGTTCAGGCTTCCATGAAGCCAGGGGGCGTGTTCTGCAAACCCCAATCTCCGCCAATCAACATGAAGCATTCTGTGGACTCTGTAGCGCTCCTGGTCCTGGAAGCTCCCTGGGTTTCACAACAGCATTTTCTTCGGTAGAAATGGGTTACTTGTTACTTTCCACTGACTGTGGGAGGACTACACTGACCTTTATTCTTAAAATGTGTGAATGTCAATTGCATTTTGAATGGTAAGTAGGCACAAACTCATTCTTATGCCAAACCGGAGCTCTCTCTTAGATCAGGGGGGTCCAGAGCACGGGCTGCCTACCTGGGCAGAGGCAGGTCACTGAGCCACTCAGTACTTGTCACCCCAGTACTGACGGCAGGCATCCCAGCCAATCCAGCATTCTGTTCCAGTCCACATGACTCACAGAACACACTGTGTATGGTTTAGGGAGGGTTCAGACACATTTTTAGCAGACAGGCCTCCAATGTGTTACTTCAAGTCTTCTGTTGCTACCACAACACAGCTGATAAGACTATTTCTTGTCACAGTGATAATGATGAGATGCTAAGTCTCAATTTCAATTCTGACCTACTAAAATTGTTTTGAGTAACAGAATACAGTGTTAAGTCAAGGCAAACGTGTTTATTTTGGGCTATGTAATCTTAGAACTGATTACTTTTCAAATAAAAATCCAATCCGGAGGGCTAGATTCCTTCACAGAATCAACAGTAACAGGCAGTAGTTCAAATGTGTGAGGAAGACTGTGAGAGTGTGACGTGCGAGCATGTGTTCAAACACGGACATGGTGGTTCCATCTGGAAACCACGATACAGCAGGCCAGGGGAATCACCAACTGCGTGCTCACTGTCCAAACGCCCAAGAAATGTAGCATGACTTACAAAAGAAATTAATTGTGATACACAACCCAAGCTCAACAGCCGCTCATTTACAGGAGATTGATTTTTCCAGGGTAATTGTAGCAATTCAAAAAATATCTTGGATTGAAGAAGAAATAACTTCCGAAAAAACACAGCAGTTTGTTTCCTACTGTTAAGTTAAAGAAGATAGATTTCTCAATGTAGCTCCGTTATCAAATCATCAATCTTTCCAAATAAAATACAGCTAGTCTAAACCAAATGGAAGAATAAAAAGCTATCTTTCATTTGAACGATGATTCATTTTTATAATTATTGTCTACTTGAAAGGAATCTACTTCACTGACTTCAAACAACTCTAACCGATTACGCAGAAGGCAAAGAAAAAGCGAGGCAGGTGCACACAGCACACACGACTGTCCCGTAAGCCCATGAAGCCAACTTCCCTCCCCTTCTTGCCCCGAGGTTTGAAAACTCAACTCCCAGAAACCCTTTCCTCTGAGGCCAAGGAATGATGAGATCCCCAAGAGCATACAAGAAAAAGCCTGAAAGTGCCAGGAGTGACTTCTAAGTAAATGTGCCTGAACGGACACATACAACTGGATGCTGCACTCCACTCGCCCTCCAAATTATTATCCTGAAAAGTACAAACTCCTGGGCCCGGCGGCATGGTCTAGCGGCTAAAGTCCTCGCCTTGAACGCGCCAGGATCCCATATGGACACCGGTTCATATCCCAACAGCTCCACTTCCCACCCAGCTCCCTGCTTGTGGCCTGGGAAAGCAGTCGAGGACGGCCCAAAGCTTTGGGATGCTTCACCTGCGTGGGAGACCCGGAAGAAGTTCCTGGATCCTGGCTTTGGATCAGCATAGCATCGACCGTTGCGCTCACTTGGGGAGTGAATCATCAGACGGAAGATCTTCCTCTCTGTCTCTCCTCCTCTCTGTATATCTGACTTTCCAATAAATAAATAAATCTTTTTTTTTTTTAAAAAAGTACAAACTCCTATGGAGGCTGTTACGGCCACTCACGAATCTGCTTCAGAGCCTGGACTCATCAACAAGCTTTAACCCAGCAAATGTCTGTCTTCTCAGAATGAATTTACTAACAGTCAAAACTCCTCAGAGTGGCCAAGCTCTTCAGTGCAAACTCCTTTGTGACACCCCAAGTCTGGGTCGCTTGTCCTAAAGGGTCCCTGTGCTTCCCCAGCACGGCGAATCGCTCACTTATGTGTCATGTGTCTCTGATAAAACAGTGAATCTCATTGGGCAGAGAGCTGACCTGTCCTCCTGATTGTCATACCCGCAGCCCTACCACAGCGCCAGAAAACCAGAAGCAACCGGGAAATCCTGGGTGGTATAACCTACTAGAAAATAAAGTGGTTTGAAGTACTGCGCACCCCTTCCGCATTCACCCTCCACTCCCACAGCACAGTATCACAGCTCAGTGTGACGGCACGTCTATGTAGAGAATGACTGCTTCATTACGCCAGGGGCGGAGAGAACAGCTCAGTCAGATAGCTTGCGTTACAGACTGTAAAGTTCTCACTCCTAGATTTGCAAGCACAACACCTTACCCAGCTGAAGTATCTTTATGGTGTCACTGCAGGCCTTCAACACCAGCTTGAAATGGCGAAACAGTGGGTAGCACAGAACTCTTCTTCCAAAAGACACCACGGCTTCGTGAACGTTAGTCCAGGTCTGCAAGCGCAATTTCAACAAGTAGTCACTGCCATCAACTGTTACAACTACAAAAGCCCACAGTGAAACAAGACACAATCCTCAAGGAAACACTATAAATTTTAAACATCATAAAGCCAAGTAGAAGAGAAATATAAAAACCATGAAGTCAAGCTCTTTATATTTCAGCATCACCTTTGTGATTTCTCATGGAGTACCAACATAGCACAAATGTCCCTTAAAAATCACAAATGTAGTGGGTCCGGCGTGATAGCCTAGCAGCTAAAATCCTTGCCTTGCACACGGTGAGATCCCATACGGGCTCCGGTTAGTCTCCTGGCGGCCCTGCTCCCACCTAGCTCCCTGCCTGTGGCCTGGGAAAGCAGTCGAGGACGGCCCAGAGTCTTGGAACCCTGCACCTGTGTAGGGACCCAGAGGAAGCTCCTGGCTCCTGGCTTCAGATCAGCTCAGCTTCAGCCATTGCGGCCGCTGGAGGAGTCAATCAGTGGACAGAAGATCTTCCTCTCTGTCTCTCCTCCTCTTTGTATATCTGACTTTCCAATAAAAATAAATAGATCTTAAAAGAAAGGAATCACAGATGTGGCAGGAAACTTCAGAAGAGTCTTGAAGAGTTCTAAATAAGACTCTGCCTCTGCAGCACACGGCACTGACAAAGCGCAGACGTATCGGAAGGACACCCAGAGCTGCTCCGGCTGTTTTCAACTCCAAGAGCAGTGGCTGCATCAAGGGCACAGACTGCTCAGCCTCCCATCGCGCTTCCCTTTTTACTGCAGGGAGGGCATCTAGGTATGAGTAATCCAATGCTAACTGACTGATTAACTGGCTTTCAATTAGCAAAGCAGGTGGGTTGGGGAGGTAGAGAGTCCTGCTTTACTGATTAGTAGCGAGGAGGGGGTATATTATCTTAAATGGTATCAAACTGATATCAGTCACTTACTCGACACCAGACAACAATGATTTTCTGAAAAATCAACTTTATTCCCATTGGGTTTTGATAAGCAAAATATGAAAACTGTAACCCATATGTAAAGTCGAAAATACAAAATTAGAACGAAGGGAGCAAGTTAATTTCCATGTATATGTTAATTTTCTTAACACCATAAGAGATCTGATTAAAAATACTGAATATTTGACAAAGAATATTTTATGTCTAAAAATAATTATGAACTTCAAAAAGTTGTTATAAAAAAACACTCATAAGTTTATCAAAGCTATAAATAAATATAGCAATTATAAATTAGCCCCAAAACACTGAGAATTTCCAAATAAATTGTTAAAAAAAAAAAAAGTGAATTTTCACAAATAACCTAGAAGTGAACTACACCTTCTATATACCTCCAATAGTTTAATGGTGGTAGTGTTATTATGAACAAAGCTGACTCTCCTATGCTAAGCCGACTCTGGCAACACAAGGGACCCCGATACAGCTTAGAGGGTAGCACCTTTACGGGTGCAAAATTGCCTGCAAAGCATGTCACAGACTGGCGTGAACTCAGAGGGCCCAGGGAAGGACCGAACTCCTAGCTTTCTGATATGCTCTTGCTGCAGCTGCTGGTCCAGCTGTGGAATCCTGGGCCATCTTTGGAGTGGTGAGATTCTCTGATAAAGTAATTATTTCAGTTGCTGTCTGTCTCAAGATCTATTTGCCGGTGATGCGATGAAGTCACCTGGAATGTTACCACTCGGAAAACACTGGCTGTGGTTGTCTTTGGTGATACAATTTTGAATGGCTTAGACTGACATTTTTAAAAAGCTACTTTGGGGAATCATGACACGGCAAGCTAGGCCGCAGCTTGTGAGGCCAGCATCCCAAACCGGAGTTACGGTTCAGGACTACTTCCGGTTCAGCCCCCTGGCAATGGCTCTGGAGAAGCACTGAAAACGGCCCACGTGCTGGGGTCCCTGCCGCCCATGGGGGGGGGGGGGGCCATGGGAGGAACCAGAAGTAACTACGCTAGCCATCAAACCTACTATCAAGTTCTTTAAGCCGTGTAAGTTTCCTCATCTGAAGGAGTGCTCACCTCAGACTTTCTGAGAAGAAATGGGCGAGTACCACCACTCAGCAGGGACCCCTGGGTTCTCCTCAGCTTTGAGCTTGCAAACCCCAGCATTTGCCAGCTTAAAACACACCTCTAACTGCCCGTCCCAGGCGCCCCCGCAAGCCACATTCCCTTCAGCTCTAAAGTACATTTCCCTCTTCCAGCTTCCCCAACAGCCACCTGGGTCAGTTACCACAGTTAAAAAGGAAAAATGGGGAAAAAAAAAAGTTGTATAATAAAGCTTCCATTGATGAAAAAGTGAAGAATTACCTGAATTAGCCCAAATGACAACAGAAAAATGACTGGGAATGACAAAATCTCAACAAATACAACTGAAAATCATACCTCAAACCAGCACAGTGTTGGACTCAGTTTTCTGATATTCCATGCCGATTCAACCTTTATTTGTTTTGGGAAAGAAAGAGTACCATCACTTTAGAAGTAAAGGCACTTGTAAATAAATATGTCCATGTACTCGATTAGCATCTGACCAGCGCACACATACAAGCATCAAGAAGGACTGGGACAAGGTCATGCTAAACTAGGCTCTTACACCGACTGGTCTGCATGAGCCAGGGATACCAGGCCACAGCATTAAAGGCAAAGGCTGAGACAGGTGAGGGGCTAAGCCAACTGGGTCAGAGTAACCACTGGCACGCATAGTATTCGAGGGCTGGGAATAGGCTCATTTGGGAGCTGTGAGTGTACACCCTTGCTGGGTTGGGGTTCCCACAGCAGAGTGCAGGGGCCTGAGTGGGGGCTGTGTTCTGCTCTGGATATGGCTGCAATCTTCCTTGGCACAAGTGTGGACTGGGGCTGGGTACACCTAGCCGGGTTAGACGCCAGCACCATCTGGTGCTCTGGAGAACCTGGGTAGATGCAGGACAGAGTAGGCTAGGTCTCTGCCCTCTAGTGAGTCATGTGTGAGCAGTGTCTGGGTATGGTCGAGCCTTGGCTGGGCTAAAACATCCAAGAGTAAGAACCGAAATGGACTGAAGGCCAGCAAGGAAAGACCACTGTTTCTACTGGGACAGGAGGTGGACTAACTAGGGCTGGCCCATGGACCCACTGGTATGCGCAAAATCTGGCATAGGGAGAAGTTCTGATGTAGGAGCTTGGGAAAATCTTCTGTCAGGACACAGTCCCTGCACACGAGCCCAAGAACCATGGTAGGGAGCAATCCAGATTAGGCCAAAGAAAGATACGCACCAGCATACATTTGGCATAGGTCGGGGCAGACCAGGCTGAACCAGTTCACACCACCCACCGGCAAATCCGAGCACCAGAATAGAGTGTGGGTCGGGCCAGGTTCGGTCGCGACAAAAACCAGTGCACATTATGGAATGCCAAGGTGAGGTGACCCGTACCACATATGGCCTCAGTGCCCAACCAGCACATGTGAGAATCAGGGAGGGAGGGGGGAAAAGCCAGCAGGGGGAATGTCGGCTCCCCTGCTGGACAATCACTCCCACTGGAGAGCACGGGTTGGGATGGGGACAGACCAGACCAGGCAGGGCAACAACACCTGTGGGCTATGTGAGCTAGATCAGGGAAAAGCCAGGCTGGGCTGACTGTTCCAACTGGTGCAAGCAAAAATTAGAGTGGGTGAAGATTGGTTGGGCTTAGCCACAGCATCAGCTGGCAGAGGCTGGTACTGGTGGCTAAATCTGTTGAGTTCAACTTCAGAATCACCTGGAGAATGCATAATCAGGGAGAGAGAGTGGCCTATGAGGGAAATAGTGGGCACCTCCCTCTTGGATTATCACTTCCACTGGAGAGCATGAAAACCAGGACAGGGACAGGGGTGGCTAGACAGAACAGCATCCGCCAGCATGTATGTGTGTGTGCGTGTGTGCTGGATAGTGGAGCTGGTTAGGTTAAACTGTGACAAAAGAGCTATGCCCACTGACGTGTATGAGAACTAAATGGGATGTGGGACAGACTGAACAGTCTGCAGTACATACTGGCAAGCATGGGAACCAGGCTAGGGGGCAAGCCTAGTGGGGGTTATGGGGAGTCGCCCCAACTAGGCTGCAGCTCCCACTGGTCTGCGGGAGAGCCGAGTAGGAAGTAGGTAGGGTCAGGCTGGACTGCAACAGCCACTGGTTCATGCAGAAGACAGGGCTGGAAACAGAACTGACCCAGCAACCGCAACGACCAGCATGTGCATAAGCTTTTATTGGGGCGACTGACTGTGCCAGACCCTGTACCGACAAGCACACACAAGAACCAGGTCTGGGATCACCTCAGACCAAGTTTCTTTGGGGACACATCCAACTGAACTGTTGATCTCAGAACCCCAACCATGAAGAGACTATGTCAGTCAATGGATTCTGAATCAGATTTTATCATGCTTGGAATGGCAAGATTGGTAGCAATTCAGAATAGATGAACATTCAAAATTGCTTGAGCAGGCCCCTCGGAGCATGCCCCACACTGGGGACCTGGGATAGGTGGGAGGCTGGGTGGGGCTTTTCCCTATGTTTCTCTCTTTACCCCAGATACAGAAAAATAATATTAATAGCAATAATGAGGAAACAATGGTCTTACCCTCTGTCTGGTAGCCCCTGACCCTTTGTACACTAATCAACTATGTAAGATTATAAAGATAAATAAATAAATAAAAAGAAAATGCAACTTATGTACAGTTTTTCAGAAGTACATATACTACATGGCTCATGGCTCGAGAGACACAGACGAAAGCTAAGATGCGTTATTTGAAGAATGCTCTGCATGTATCTGCTCGCGGGAGGCTTAGAGATGGAATGAAGACGGCTCTGGTAGCTCAGATGCTGTCGCGGCCACCCCAGGTCTCAGGTCTTAGCCTGAACCGGAAGGTAGTGAGGACCACATTCTCTCTCCACTCAGTTTCCTGCCTTAGGCTTGCTTTTCTGCTGTCCCGCCAAGATGAATGCCCAGCATACAGACAGGCCACACCAGCATTATACCTGCATGTTGGTGCCTGCCACCAGCCACGTGCCCCTCTGCCTGATGTGGCCCCTCAACTATCAACCCTGACAACTGCCAGCTTCACCCGACGCAGTTGACCCAGCACAGGGAGCTCTGGGGACACGCACAGACACAAATGCACTCACGTTCTTCTCCCCTTCCGTGACACGGGTCTCATAGCAGTATGCCAGGAGGATGTCGATCAAACTATAGTACACTTGGCGCTCGGCGCTCTTATCCAGCAGGTAAGACTTATTGACAAACTTACGCAGCTGGTACTTCTCTTCTTCAGAGAAAGACACTAAAAGAAAAATGAAGTGTTTCATCATCAGGCTCTCTAAGACGTCATCAAATGACTGTCCCCCCATCCCCAGATACTGACACAGGCCCATCCTTGCACACAGAGGAGAAAAAAATAAATAACTAAGAACTGACACACTGACGTCCCCCACCTTACTCTAAAGCCCACGTGTGCATGCCTCCCTCTCAATTAAATCACTGTTAAAAATTACATGTTTCATTCATTCTGTGAAACTTTCAATGTAGAACACCTGACAAAAATCAGAATGTTGAAGACAGAAGCTGAAATCAAAGCTACTGAAATGTAAGTTGCTTCTACCCACCTCGGGACATACAAGTACAAAGTAGACACTCCTAGTTATATTAAGCGTTATGCATCTACACACATGTAATTTTCTAAACAGTCTCTACTCCTTATTTCTGGTGCTTACTTTTTGGCATATTATTCTGTATTTATGACATCAAAACAGGAGTTATTAACTTTAAGATAATCTCACAACAGAGAACATGCATAAGCTACATAAAGTAACATGGAAATAGCCATTATCTGGTTTGAAATTTCTATGTAAAGAAGAACATTTTTATATGTTCATCAATGCTGATGCTTAGTATTTACTTTTTAATATTCTTGTGCTCACTGAAGTAAAATTTTACAACATATTATACACACTAGATTTGTGGGAAAAAGATGTTTCAAAAGATTTTTTTTGGTACCTTCTCTCCACCTTCATCTTCAACAGCTTTGCTCATGTAAACACTTTAGCATACACCACTCCAGCTGCCGCCATCTAATCACACGCAGCACACACATACACTAGGGAGCCGGCAGCTTCCTCTCCCCAGAACTGGATAATTTCCTCCCATCTAATAGCCCACTCATCAAATCTCTAGCATCTCCCTCCGAGTGAGTGGGTACATGGTTGATTTTTGCAGAGGCGGATGACAGTTCATGATGTACATGCTTGAAGCAACTACTCCCCCTACTGAAGCGCACTGATCTTACGCCACTGCTGCTAATGCTACAGTACACGTCCTAGCCACAGGTCCTTGCACGTGCAGGCTTAGCTCCAAAATAGATTCTCTAAAGTAGATGTGCTGGCTCAAAAAAAAAAAAAAAAAGGTACTCGCAGGACTGCAATACCCTCTGCCCTGGTAGTTTCAGTCAGAAGTTTCCCAGGAGGGCAGGCGTTTGGCACAGCAGTCGGGACACCCACCAGCCCGTACCAGCTGCTTGGCCTGGAGTCCCAGCTCCCCATTTCGGCTTCCTGTTCATGTACACCCTGGAGGCAACAGCTGTCCACCCAGGTACCTGCTTTCCTGCCACCTGTGCAGCAAACCTAGCTGGGATTCCTGGCTCTTAGTTTTGCCCTGGTACTGCTCCTGCGGTTGAAGGCATTTGGGGAACGAAATATCAAATGGGAGATCTCTCTTTCGCTGTCTGTCTGTCTCAAAGAAAATATTTATTTTTCTAAGAGAATTTCTTCCTACATACAGCTCCTGCACAGGCTGGTTATAAATGTTATCAGCTTTCCCTCCAATTGTTTCTAGAGTATCAGATACAAAGTGACTGTGGTGGGCAGAATTCTAAGATAACTCCCATGGGGTCAACTCACTGTATGAGGCTGGGGCCTGCGACCTGCTTCTGACCAAGCAGAATCATGGCGAAGAAAAAGAAGGAACCATCACACCCATGATCTGCCCTATTATTTGCAACCTGCAGTGAAGCGCTTGCCAGCCACTTTTGAAGAAATATGGTTGTCAAGGCGTTCGAGGGGCTCGGAGAAATCTATGCAGCAGGGAACTGCTCATCGGGACGCCCAGTAACAAGGTGGCCTCACCCTGCAGGTGCAGGAATGGAAGTGGCAATAAGCATATAAGCCTGTAAGAGGATTGCCAGAAATGAACAGAAACTCAATATTGTTTTTTAATTAAAAAAAAAAATTTTAAGGGATATGTATAGCTACAGTCTTCCAAGAACCTGAGCAGAGAAGCCAGCTAAGTCACACCCAACTCCTGGCTCACTGCAATGCAGAGATGACAGTGTGTGTCAAGCTGGCAGTAGGTCGTTAGGGAGCCAGCAAGATAAAACTCCGATGCTGGTCTAGCGTTATTCCAGCAAGTAAGTTCTCTAACCGCACAACGCCACACACTGCCTCACAGGTGTGCTAGCCACCTGCAATCCATATTTGCCCTCCTGACCTTTACCTAACTGAATGTATTTTGCCCAATTCTGTCTATGGTATGGCTTGTCTCAAATTTTAAAGCACTCTTTGTATATGACAGACAGAAACTCTATAATCATCTCATCTCTCCAAATCTACTGTGCCTCTCTTTTTCTTTATAGTGTACTTTTTGCCACTGAAATATTTACTTACCTTTTAAAGGGTTTATTTATTTATTTGAAAGTCAGAGTCACAGAGAAGGAAGGAGAGAGATTTTCCACTTGCTGGCTCACGCCCCAGATGGCTACAATGGCCAGGGCTGGGACAGGCAGCAGAAGCCAGATGCTTCTTCTAGTTTCCCACGCAGACAGCGGGGGTCCACTACTTGGCCATCTTCCGCTGCTTTTCCCAGGCCAGTTGCAGAGAGCTGGAGCAGAACTGGAGCTACTGGGACTCAATCCAGTCAGTGCTATACATCAGTCCCTGAAATATTCTTATGTAGCCAAATACATTCATTTTTAAGAACAGACTTGTTTTTCACAGCCTAGGATGAGATCTCCTGACTTCTAGATTATAAATGAAGCCCCTTTAAGATTTGTTTCACTGGGCCCAGTGCAGTAGCCTAGTGGCTAAAGTCCTCACCTTGAACGAGCCAGGATCCCATATGGATGCTGGTTCTAATTCCGGAAGCTCCACTTCCCATCCAGCTCCCTGCCTGTGGCCTGGGAAGGCAGTCGAGGATGGCCAAAGCCTTGGGACCCTGCACCCACGTGGGAGACCTGGAGGAGGTTTCTGGCTCCTTGCTATAGAGTGGCACAGCACTGACCTTTGCGCTCACTTGGGGAGTGAATCATTGGATGGAAGATCTTCCTCTCTGTCTCTCTTCCTCTCTGTATATCTCTGACTTTGCAACAAAAATAAATAAATCTTTTTAAAAAGAGAGATTTGTTTCACTTTTTACATTCAAACTTTTAATCTATCTGGAAGGGTTTTTTTTTTTTTCAAGATTCCAGTTTACTGCAGAAGAACAGTTAATTATGTCAGCACAAACTGTCCAATAGTCCATTTCTCCCCACCATGCCGAGTTGAAAACTTTGTTAAACAGCTCTGTTGCTTGTCTTGTATAAGCACTTCTATTTATTCAGTTTTGTCACTGCTGGGAATACAGCATTTTCCTCATTTTTATTATTAAGTACTTCTTGTTAAAAGAAAAGTGATTTCTTTTTACGTATTAAAATGTTGGCTCTGCGGACCAAAACGAAAATCTGAAACGATAAACGTTACGTATAAATGAAACGCTGTCTACAGGAAGGCAAGCGAGCCCAGGACAACAGGTCATGCAACAGGCTTTCCTATTGCATCATGCATCTTCTTGCATTAAGGAAACAGAAACGCTGTTAGTGCTGTTCATACGAAATAGAATACCTCTTGTCTTGGAGCAAGATTTACAGGAATCATACGAGCTAAACACGCAGATGTGCTCGGTATCTGGCCATCATTAACAGGGTCTACTGCTTGTCTTTTTTGCTTTTCTAAAGATTTATTTTTCATTGGAAAGGTATATTTACAGAGAGACAGAGAAAAGATCTTCCGTCCACTGGTTCACTCCCCAAGTGGCCACAACAGCCAGAGCTGAGCCGATCCGAAGCCAGGAAGCAGGAGCGTCTTCTGGGTCTGTCCTGTGGCCATCCTCAACTGCTTTCCCCAGCCACAAGCAGGCAGTGGGATGGGAAGTGGGGCAACTGAAACGCCACCTGGCACCCAACTGGGATCCTGGAGCATGCACAGAGAGGATTTAGCCTCTGCGCCATCGCACTGGGCCCTGCAGCTTGTCTTAGAGCATTTTTCAAAGCCTAAGCATCTACATAAATTGCTGCGTCTAAGGCAAAATGTCAGCCACCTCCTTCTGCAAAGTAACCCTTAACTTCTGTTTCATCCCCTATCAGATAATCACTTTCAAATTCACTTACAAAGTTGTTCAACCTAGCGAAGAGAAGCAGGCTGCTTCCATTTTTGGCGCTTTGAGCCAAGGCCATGTCAAAATCGCTTTCAAGACTTTTTTTTTTTTCCTCTATATCAGAACTGTTAGATTTAGGTATAGACTGGCTGAACTGCTGTTAACACAGAAACCCTGAAAGACAGGGCTTAAGACACAAGCTTCTCTTGGGCATTACTAGCCAGAGTAAAAATGACTCGGGGCTGGCCGAGCACCAGCAGCCTGTCACCCAGCATCCACCTGTGGGTGTCCTGGAAAGCTGCTTTGGTTTTCAGTATTTGCAAACCACTGAGCGAGAGAGAGAGAGAGAGAGAAGACAGGAAACACCGTGTTTCTAAAAGCTTGATCCAGCAAGGGTGCAGAGGACTTCTCACTTCCCGTCCCCGGGACTCAGTCACCAGGAAGGGGTCAGCTCTGACTCAAGCAGTCCTCTTAGTCACAGAAGGGGAGAAGTCCTATTAAAGACACCTGCTGTCACGGCCGGCTTTCCAGAGACCAAACCCCCCAGCCTGCCTTTCTAGTGCTCCCAGACCCTCCTCTTCAGAGTGCCCAGTCCCTCTCTGTGCTCAACAAAAGGCTGCCTTCTTTTTTTCCCTCATCAAAAAAGCCAGAGAAAGAGAATATGAACCTGAACTAAAGGTGGGCCCTTCCACATTGAATTTTCTAAATCCTCTTCTGTCCGTCTTATAAGTCTCAGCACTTGACATGGCTTCTTTTTTTTTTTTTTTTTTTAAGGCTTACAGGGGGAAAAAAAATCTTAAACACATTTACTTTGCTAGGAGTAATATCCCTTTCACCCATTAAAATACACTTAGTGGAAAAAAATGGGTTTTGGAATGCATT